CTGGAAGCTGTAAATTGTTTTTTGCAGACAGAGCAGGCCCATGATTTTTAAAAAAATAGGCTAACAAGGGAAAATTTTAATTTGGAAATAAAGCATGGAATTCAACTGTAATCATCATATGTGTCGAGATAAAACAAGTAACGTACGCATTAATTTCGGAGATTCATTGTATAAAACGGAAATTAGATCAAATCGCACATCTGGCCATCTGATTGGTGCACAACGTGTATGTTTATATGGCCGAAGGGCTGTGCATTAAATTATAACTAAATTTTCTTTTAATTAGTAATTGGTGTATTCTTAACGACAATGCAAACACAAAAAACTTAGCTGAGAGGCGAAAACTTGCTGTTGAAGATGATAGAGAGACGAAGAAGAGGATCCAACAGACGTGTAGCTGGTGTAGTCAGTAGGGGAAGAAAGTGCAGTCCGTGTTTTTTTTAAACATACGGAATGGATTAAAAAATGAACTATTTTTTTCCTCCCCCTCTTCAGGAGAGTGAAGCTTACAAAAAGAAAAGAAGGACAAAGATAAAAATCCGGTCGCACATTGAACTTGAATTTTATAAAAAATCGTTCTATTTTGTAATTGTTCCTACCATTCAAAGCTTTACGAATAACTAATAAGCACGCTCTAGTTTCTCATAACCCAAATAAATTATAATTTAAATAATTGTCAAGTGCTTTCCGCTCCTGCATTATCTTAGAAGAAAGTGATATTCATCAATATTTTACATTTTTCTCAGCGTCACGCTTTATTGAAAAGTTCAAACTGCAGGGCCCAGATATTTTAGTAACTTAATAGGGCAGTAGCTCTCTGGCTGTGAGCCACTTCCGGTGGTCGATTTCCTATTCGATTCCTGATGTAGACAATTGGTCCTTTGTCACATTCCAGATTACTAACTGCGGCCAACAGAGCCTTTAGATGTCGCTTTAGGTTATATACAAGTTGTTCAGATACATCCGAAAACCGAAAAAATAGGTTCCTTGATCTTAAGGTCATACATTCCTGGGTGGTGCGCCGTAAAGAAAAGCAAATATTTTACTGAATAGCCAAGCAATGTCTTTCAAGGAATCAATTTATCACAGAATTTATCCAACGAGGTACTTCGAGTTACTAATACAGTAACACAACAAAATGAATTTTTTTCCACATTCAGAAAATATAATACTAGAACGCTGAAGTCTAGATCTGTTATGCCCCATTTCTCCAAGAAAGCAAGACGTTAAGTAGGTACAGAAGGTGTAAAAAAGAAGATAAAAATCCAGTGAGAAATACTTCACCATGTAAAATAAAATATTTGTGTAAATCGTTGTAAATAATATAATCGAAATACCACACCCAACAATTGGATAGTTGATTGAGTAGTGTGTGGGTTGAACTGGAAGTGCAACTACCCCCACGTGGTGAGTTCTGGGCATTTTGTATCTGCAAAATGGGGAAAGAGTTGAACAGTTAAACTAGCCTAAACTGTTGAATTTCTGGTTTTCCTTAAGACATTGCGCGAGCGGAAAACATTAATATTGAAAAACTATAATTTATTTGGGCTATTTAAACCATAAACCAAACTCGGGAAACTAAAGCGTGCTTGTTCTTAAAGCTTTGGAAAAAATTACAACAATTATTGTAAAATGCAACTTCAATGCGCGACCAGAAGATGTTATCCGATTTCGGTTTTTTGGTATGCTTTTTATTCTTAATTCAATAGGCAACTTTTCCGCACTAAAGCGTTTCGAAAAAATAATATTTCTTTCGACCCACCCTAAATGACAGATCAGGACTAAGAAGTTCTGGAAAGACTATAGAAGGCGCCAGAAAATCTTTCAAACGCGATTCATGTCGCTTTAAAAGTTTTTTAGATCACGGAAACTTTTGTTGACCTATAGAGCATTCAAGTTCTTTTACAAAGCTTTACGGTCGATTTCTAGAAACATTTTAAGACCCTTCTAAAATCCAAACCTCTTAGGCTTTTAGGGAAGGATAAGTTTGAAAATAATTTCTGAAATAATGAAACCAAATACGTCTAAATTGAACTTATTCGTCCTCAATTCCGTATACCTAAGTAGCCTAGAGACTACAGTATAAAAATCAACAGGGAAAAGACAAAAGTCATGACATGCGTGAAAAAGAGGATAGGAAAAAGAAAGATCCGAATAGGAAACGACACTTTAAAGCATGTAAAGGAATTTTGCTATTTAGGTAGTAACCAGGGTATTAAGGTTAACAAGATAATCGTAGCAAGGAAAATCCAGGATAGCGCAGGCTAAAAAAGCATTTGAACAAAAGCGGGACCTGCTAAGATCCGGGATAGATATAGGAATTAGGTGCGGTTGCGAAACTTGGACCATAGGCAGGGATGACAAAAGTAGAATAGAAGCATTCGAAATGTGGTGCTATAGAAGGATAATGAAGATTAGCTGGATGGACAGGGTAACAAACGAAGAAATCTTGGAGCTAGTACAGGAAAATAGGGAAATGTGAAAACCGCACAGAGAAGATAAGATAGGATGATAGGGCACGTGCTCAGACACGGAGGATTAGTACAGCTAGCTATAGAAGGTAGGGCAGAGGGCAAGAGAGGGGTAGGACGACAGATGCAGAGGTAGGCAAGGGTAGTTATGCAGAAGTGAAAAGATTAGCGCAGAATAGGAAAGGGTGGAGGACTGCGTTCAACCAATCCTAGGATTGTGGACTCCAAGAAGAAAATTGACTTACCTATAACCTAAGAAAATTAGGTCTGAAATAATGAAGCCTATGTGTATATATTTTGTTCGCGTTATTTAAGGTTTGTTATTTGTAAATTTAATATCAATCGCCAACTTTGCTATGTTTAGACGTCTACATGTCGTATATACCTACGAACCACCCCTACGTTTGAAAGATATTTATGAAATAACGCAGCCTAGCGGATAAATTTTGTTCGCATTATTTAAGAATTATTACGTGTATATTTAACACCAGTCACAAAATGTGACGTATTTAGTGTCTATACATCCCTAAATTGAACTTGTCTGTTCCCACTTCGTATACCAAGAAAATTATTTCTGAAATAAAGAAGCCTAATACCAGATAAATGGAAAACTATTACGCCTAGTTATAAGTTTAAGAATAGAATATAGCATTTTCTGAAAATGTTTCTATTTTCTACAAGAATATCTTACATGTAACTTTGATTACATAGCGTATGTGCTTTGTGACTTGTCCTATATCTATGTAAGATTTTGTTCGCGTTATTTAAGGGTTGTCATGTGTACATTAAAATCAATTATCGCAAAATTTGATGTATATAAAACTAAAAGTACACAATATGCTAAAATACACCCCACGGTTTACTCCAGGCCATGGTATGACAAAAATTCTGCATTAAATCGTTGGGAATGTACCGAGATAGCTAGATTGAAGTTTGGGCATGGGAGCTACCCAGCTCATTTGCATAAAATTAATTTAAAACCTACGTCGCAATGTTCATGTGGATACGAAATTGGAGATTTGAACCACATATTTTTTGCATGTCCCAATAACACTATAGCTACGAAAACATTACTAAATGAATTACAATCGCATGGCGTGTCTTTTCCCATAGAACTAATCTCCCTCCTGGCACTTGATAAAGAGCCAATATGTAGAAGCTTACTGAACTTTTTAAAGAATAGTAAATTAAGAATTTAAAAATATATACTTCGCGTCCGTTTGTGACCATCCATTGTTTGCCCTCCTATGCAACCGAGGTCTGAGTCTGTGTTTTGTGTCTTGAAAGAAGTCATTGTGAGGGACACCACAATGTGAAATTTTGTGCCCCTGTTTACTCATATTCCTGAAATCCCATCTTATTCGCGATAAAATAAACATTCAAACCAATCAGATAATAAGGCCCATGGGCTAGATCCCGAATAGCCTTAATTAAATTAATTAATTAAATTAAAAAAAAAAAATGTCCATACACCACTAAGTCGGATTTAGCCGTCCATACGCATATTGTTGCAAGTATCGAAAATTGAAGTATGGAAAATTTATTTCTGGCTACTTTATGGCTAACTTTTTTGACAGGAATGTATACTTTTCAAGCACCAGGAATCCGAATCAAACAGAATCTCGATGATGTCGGTATGTCCGTCTGTACTCTAATTTCCGGCTATACATATTCGTAGGCATAAAAGGAAGAGCTGGGTAGAATCGTCTGTCAATGTTTGACGTTTTTCAATATTATGGCTAAACTATTGTGTCATGCAGGTGGTATCTACGCTAGCCACAGCAAATTTTTGGCTTGTTTCGTGTTGGGAATTTTATAGCTAAACTTTCTAGATTCTAGAATTTATAGCAAAAGGTATGTTTGAGCCTCATTTTGTTTAGTCTTTTAGGGACTGATTCGTTGCAATTCTTCAGCGTTTCTGTGCGATTTGATTATAATTTGTGTAAGCATACGAAATACTTTTAGTTGTGCAATTTTAGATGTTTCTAGAGTTCTAGAGTTTCTCGAACTCCCATTGAGATATATAAGTGACGGAAATATCAATATATTGCCATCTATTTTATGGGTTATTTGTCAGATAAAATTGAATCAAACTACGACTTCGGTCGGTAAAGGCAACAAAAGCTCGAGCCTTAAGGAAAGGATATCGTAATCTAAATGTGACGCGTGTCTCTCCCGAGATTAATATATTTCCAATCCGGCGTACAATCAACTAAGCAAACGTAACGGGAGTTTTCGCTTTGACCAAGCTAAAGTTCCTCATTAAAGATTTTAATCGACAACGGAATTAGTGAACGCTCGCACATCCGATCAATCTTGTCGTCCCAAGATGGGGTAGCTTTCTACTTTTTTCTTCAATTAAAATTCACGTTCACGGGCATTGTAATTGCTTTCTCGTAATTTCATGCGATATAGTGGCTTTGTCGGTTTTGTTAATTACGCCGAATATGCAAAAGTTTAATGGACCAATATTTAATGATTGGGGTTTGTCTGTTCGAGAGTAATAATTTTTGTAATTTTGTGTTACAGGTATCGAGAAGATACGCTCTGCTGGACGGAGCGGTAAGTATTTCTAAGAGTAATTGCTTCTAATTAGGCGTGGGTGTTGAACGGACGCAGTGGGTAGTTGCGTTTTAACATTAACTGTGGTAGTATTTGGTGGCTGCCAGTTAAGAGCGACGAATTTGAGGTCAGTTTCGTTCGAAACGAGCCGTCAATCGGGTTTTTGTTTTGTCATAGCCATTATAGGCAGGCATCGATACTTGTTCGAAGTTTTTCTGGCTGGTCGCGGTTCATCGACTAATGAGGGTGGCAAATAAAACAAGACGGTTATAAATAATCTTAAAGTCGATTAGCCCAAGACTATCAACCTTAAATCGAAACCTGTTATGAAATTACCGCCGTGATTATACTACACTAGAGCTGGCAGATAATTTGCTGGTACGATGCATCTAAATAACTTGGTGGTACTTCGGCAGGTTCGTCACTGTCTTCTCCTTGGAGGCGAACGACACTACGAAACTGTACACATGCCTACAAACGCACTTGCAAAAAATATATCCATTGTTTGAAGGCTTATACTCCCTTATTAGGAGGTTGCATAAATTAGCGGCGCGCGCGGCACGGAGGGCGCAGTCACAATAGCGGTCTGTAACGAACTGATGTACCTTTGATATCTTCTCGAATAAATCTCGAGCGTCCAAACCAGAGATGATTTTTTGTGAGAAAATATACGGTGCTGTTGTATTGTTGACTAGATAGATGCAATATTTATTGTGTCCAGCAGGCAGTCAGAATGCGGCGACGACTCGCGAAGTTGCGTTTCCACATTCTCAACATACATGGATTTTAATGAGCAATCCCTCTTACTCGGCCCCGTGCGCAGCCCGAGCTTTTTGCATCAATGAGCGGCCTTCTTTGTTAGAATACTATGAGTGCAGAAGGCCTAAATAAAATTCAAGAAACGCTCGTGACGTGTTTGTGGAGATCATAAAAATCGCGCGGGGTAGTAAGAGACACGGGACCAAATATTAAATGGGGAGATTAATCGTAAAAAACTTGGGAGCCGTTCCCGAGTAAACTCGCTAACGGACTTTTGATACTTCCCTCGTTCACATCATCTGCGACATGTGCCACCCTCGAATTTGAATTAACGCATCAAGAACAACACGTATACCTTTCGCATTGCCAGTTCCAAACAACAAAATCGACATTGTTTCTTAAAACCAATTAGACCATAATTGGTAGCTGCAGATTGGCGAGGGAAGTCTAGCGACATATATGGAGCTGCATTTATTTCAAGGAATTGTTGGACGATATGATACGAGATGGACTACATATACACAAGTTCAGTGATGAGGTTAGCGGGACGAACGTCTTCATACGAACTAAACTAAACTAATCCAAAAATTAGCATATCAAAGAGACAAATTTGTAAAATTCGCAAATAAATTAAGCTCGCCCGTTATATAATATGCAGTCAGGTGGCAGATTGACTGTTCTTTTTAATTACACACGTTAGCTACTAGGGTGTTGATTTATAGAGCAGTTAGAGATCTCATAAACAGCACGTGGGTCGACCGGGAACGCTCGCTGTCATATTTGATGGGACCACCGCGCATTCTTAGGCGCCATCAATGAACTCGCTTTCATTAATGTTCCGGTTTCGTATATACTAGTATAGTAGAAGTTTTCAACCGTAAAATATATACCTACTTCACATACCACCTCATTTACTTACGATTCGAATCCTGAAGAACATTTATTAAAAAATTGCGTCCCCCACATAAGAATTACGAGCACGACGCGTGATTTACACCACGACCCCTTCCAACATTTTTTTGTTGCACATGTTCCGGATTAGTTTTTTTTCTAATTAACGTTATAGTGAAATTGACTTGGCCCGAAAAAAAAACAGGGGACGAACTACATTTATTTTTTGTTATTTATTAATTAATGGTTCCGAAAGACATTGTTTGGTAAAATTCAAAATTGGCAAGGCATTGGGCGTATTGCTTTTCCCTACATTTACAATGAATGAAATTCATCGTCGTCCGCTGGCCCTGATTTTGTAAATCGTACATATTCGGAAAGAACAAAAGTACTACCATAATTAGCGAAACCATTCATTAATGAATAAAAATGCAGCATACAGAAAGTACTACAACTTTAATAGCTCATGGACCAAATGGGTATCAATGTATAAGCAAAACGGACGAATTTTGGGAATTCATATCAGGAAGCCATCAAAAACGTAAAAGGGAGGTTTATAATACTGGAAGATTTAAATAGCACACTGTTAAAAGTTTTTCGGTGTAAAGTTGAAAATGCAAAGTGTATGTTGTTTTCGTGTATAATGCTACACGAAATCTGGTCAGATTTACACCTTCTTACTATGAGATGATTGGTAAAACGCAATTGTGTAGAATTTCTATGACTTACACCGTAACTTGTAAAAGTACTCAATGTGGTGTAATTTTTTTCGTCAGTGTAAAGAATACACGGATTCTTCGTTAGATTAACACCAGATTGTGCAAATAGACTCAATATTGTGCAATTGTCTCGACTTGAGTCAGTGACCATTATTCCTTCAGTCGGTTGTTCACATCTTTTGTATGATGCCATTGCAGTTGCACCTACATTCAGTATAGGTACCTTAGAAGCAGTTATCTGTATAAGATTTCAATTTTGAATTAATTTTATTATGCTGGTGAAAGTAATATGAACGCAATTAAATTTAACTACAAAATCATTGTGAAGTGGTTAATGATCCCGGAGGACAGTACGTATGATGTAGTTGCGGATAAAGGTAATGTTATACACCTATTTAGTTAATTGAAGGTTCATAAAATCTTGCTTTTTAAAAAATACTGTGCAGTTTTTTTGATGTTATGGTATTAGGGCTGGCCCTTAGGTATAGAATATAGAATTTTGTTTATATATACAGATATATAAATTAGTTATACTTATGTATTTCGGTTGTTTTATATTGTCTATGTATATGTACTAATATATACATATTTGTTTAAATAAATTAGTTTATTTAAAAAGTTCTAGTAGCAAACGTTTTCGCTCACTTCCCTCCACCCTCCTCTATATTCATAAAAAAGAAACACTGGAGTGCGGTTATAGTAACACAAAAATTCGGTTTTCCCGAGAAATTTTGATGCAGTCGATTTTTGGTAAAAAAGGAAGGTACACTGCCTTTTTTTGAGCCCCGAAAAAAAAATTGTCTCAGATCAACCCGGAAAAAAATTTTCTTATAGAATGTGTCCTGTAGAATCCATAATTTCAAACAGTTCCAAGATTGGGCTACTAGTTCAAAAGTTACAGCCCTTTGAATTTTCTTTCGAAATTGGTTTCTAGTCCATAACTGTTGATTGAGAAGTCTGATCGAAAAAGTAGGAATTGTTTTGTATTCTACCCACCAAAATGAATAAGAAAAAGTGTTTTCCCGAGAAATGTTGGTGCAGTCGATTTTTGGTAAAAAAGGGAAGGTTATACACTGCCTTTTTTTGAGCCCGAAAAAAAAAATTGTCTCAGATCGACCCGGAAAAAAAATTTTCTTATAGAATGTGGCCTGTAGAATCCATAATTTCAAACAGTTCCAAGATGGGGCTACTAGTTCAAAAGTTACAGCCCTTTGAATTTTCTTTCGAAATTGGTTTCTAGTCCATAACTTTTGATTGAGAAGTCCGATCGAAAAAGTACGAATTGTTTTGTATTCTACGCACCAAAATTAATAAGAAAAAGTGTTTTCCGGAGAAATGTTGGTGCAGTCGATTTTTGGTAAAAAAGGAAGGTTATACACTGCTTTTTTTTGAGCTCTGAAAAAAAAATTGTCTCAGATCGACCCGGAAAACAAATTTTCTTATTGAATGTGGCCTGTAGAATCCATAATTTCAAACAGTTCCAAGATTGGGCTACTAGTTAAAAAGTTACAGCCCTTTGAATTTTCTTTCGAAATTGGTTTCTAGTCCATAACTGTTGATTGAGAAGTCTGATCGAAAAAGTAGGAATTGTTTTGTATTCTACCCACCAAAATGAATAAGAAAAAGTGTTTTCCCGAGAAATTNAAAAAAAATTGTCTCAGATCGACCCGGAAAAAAATTTTCTTATAGAATGTGGGCCTGTAGAATCCATAATTTCAAACAGTTCCAAGATTGGGCTACTAGTTCAAAAGTTACAGCCCTTTGAATTTTCTTTCGAAATTGGTTTCTAGTCTATAACTTTTGATTGAGAAGTCTGATCGAAAAAGTACGAATTGTTTTGGATTCTACGCACCAAAATTAATAAGAAAAAGTGTTTTCCCGAGAAATTTTGGTGCAGTCGATTTTTGGTAAAAAAACGAAGGTATTACACTGCCTTTTTTTTGAGGCCCGAAAAAAAAATTGTCTCAGTTCGACCCGGAAAAAAAATTTTCTTATAGAATGTGGCCTGTAGAATCCATAATTTCAAACAGTTCCAAGATTGGGCTACTAGTTCAAAAGTTACAGCCCTTTGAATTTTTTTTCGAAATTGGTTTCTAGTCTATAACTTTTGATTGAGAAGTCTGATCAAAAAAGTACGAATTGTTTTGGATTCTACGCACCAAAATTAATAAGAAAAAGTGTTTTCCCGAGAAATTTTGGTGCAGTCGATTTTTGGTAAAAAAGGAAGGTTACACACACTGCCTTTTTTTGAGGCCCGAAAAAAAAATTGTCTCAGATCGACCCGGAAAAAAAATTTTCTTATAGAACGTGGCATGTAGAATAGATAGCAGATTTAATTATTTATTTAATTATTAATTAAGATTTAAGAAATATGTGGGAAATGATTTATCACTCTAAGTTTAATTTGATTCGAAGGGTGTAACAGTAGCAAATAATGATTAGACATGGCCATCTTGGAGGATAATCCACCACTTAGTAGGTGTTAATTAACCACAAAATGAAAAAGGGAGGAGGGGAGTCAATTTCAGAGAGAATTGGATGAATTCGCATTGAGACATTTAGGGCAATTAGTGTTGCACACGGTTGTAAAAAGCAGGAGCTGATTTAATCGCGGTATAGCCGATAGTATCG